GCTTTCAGTATCTCGTTTATTAGCCAAAAAATATTCATAATATTATCATAATGTTTTAGTACGATGCTGAGCAAATGTAACTGTTAACTGTTTGCGGGTCCACATGTTTCGCGGGAGATTTGAAAATCCAAAATAAACGCAAAACCAAAAAAATGAAAAATCAAAAAGAAATAGTTCATAGGGTTAAGCAGACTCCAAACTCCGCTATAATGTTATTCATATGGTAATAAGTAAAAAACACAAGAAGAGAGACTTCTCGGCTCACTCGCAAAAACTCAGGTCCGAAAGGGTTAAGCACGCTCGCAAATTATTCTAAATCTATGGCACTTTCCATGCGTTCCATCCGTTTAGCGCGACTTAATCTACAGCATCTGAGTATCATGTTTAGGGGCTGCTATTGCCGGTGCTGTTAGATAATACAGCCGCCACTACTACACGACTGCTGTTGCCGCAAAGCCATGTGCCCGTACACGACATGGAATGTGCTGCACTTGAAGCCTATATCATCTGTCAACTCTGCTATGTCGTTTCGAGAAGAAGATTTTTGTGCTGCAATGGTGGCATCAATATGGTACTCGAACATGTATCATCGTTAAAGAAAGACAATTCACTGGCTTGGCTTTGGCTAGAGGCAAAATTGCGTGAAAAACTCTTCATGATGCACCACCATCAAGAATCAAAAACTTTCACCGTCCGAACAACAGTCAAATCCTATTTATCTAGGCTCATCAACATAGGATAGGTATGCTAAAGGCACCGTTCACCCAAAATTTCGACCTCTGTGTTTTTGCCGTCCCAGGGCCTTCTTTTAGCCCTGATTCCGAATATCAAGTCGGAAATCCACGAAAGCTACGAAAAACCCCGTTTTCAGAATCCGCAGCGATTTCCTCGGAACGATGATTGGTTGGACGCGCACGGATGGGCGGGACGAACGTCACGCCCACTCAAAGGGGAGGAGCCAACGTGGCGAATCTGTCATCCGAGCTATTTTCGAAGCAATTTTCTCGCTTCGGAAGCAACTTTTGCCAGCGCGAGTTGGATAAGTATACAGTTGTGGGCTCCACTACTGTTAGGATATCTAATCGACCCCATTTTGGGTGGGCGGCGCCTTTAGGCAGGCGCTATACTCCTCGAGGAGTATAGCATGGCGACGGGCGATCGTCAGTCGTAGCGACTGGCGATCGCCCGTCGTAGCGACTGGCGATCGCCAGTCGGTAATCGATACGTATCAAACGTGTAGTCGCCGATATTGGCGACTACACGTTTGATACGTATCGATATACGACTCATCACTCATTTTCCACTTCCATTTCAAAGTACTCACCAGCCGGTGAGGTCGCCCTAAAAAGAATGAACTGCAAGACCAGTGATTTTTACCTTCAACAGTTAACGGTAACTTGTTTGGCGACTGGCGATCGCCAATATCGGCGACAAAAATCGCTGGTTTACACGTATTTGTATCGATCGTCGCCATGCTATACTCCTCGAGGAGTATAGCACGGCGACGGGCGATCGTTAGTCGCTACGACGGGCGATCGCCAGTCGCTTGGTTTTGAATATTATAAGAAGATTGCTGAACGCGATCTTCTTATAATATTCAGAACCAAGTAATGGAATGCTGCAAAGAATACAAAAGAATACAATACTCAAACAGGTTCTTCTTTAATAGTTTGAATATAATGACTGATGTTGAAAGTATTAGGTTGTCCCAAAAGTTTTGTCCGACTTTTTCATCGCTCACTTCACGGAAGGCTTAGATACCATTAAATTCATTTTTATCCTCTTTCTTGCAGCTATATTTGCTCTCTGACCTACCCTGTCTTTGCAATCTTATCGCCATGGGTTTCTGAGCAGCTTAGCAGTTACGCCAAACCTTTCCTGAATCTCAATTTTATCCTGATGTTTTCAAGAAGCGCTGCTAACTGTTGTTTAGAGCAAACCTTTGGCTACATTGTACTCATTTTAGATTACATTGATCACGTTTACCAAGTCCGTTATATTAGTTATGTAATTAAAAACCGTGGCTTTTTGATAACGTTTACCTCGTGGAAGTACCGAAAATCCCAAAAAGCTGTTTTTTCAAAGCAAATCAAACTTGGTTATGTTGAATAAACAATGTCTAGTAAGAATTATGTTTTAATTCACAGGAATTTCAAAAGCTTTCTTGTATTTGCTGCAGTTGCGTGATTCACGACTTGGCCAAAAATCGAGACCTCCAAAAAAAAAATTTTTTTAAGGCTAAAAACAGCAGACTAGGATTAATGAAAACACCACCTTGTAGCCCGACAATTGCTTTGTCTGATTCATACTTGACCTTTCCCGGAATTTTGGAATGTAATTTTTGAAAATTAGCCTAACTTTGAACAGGAAATTGACGGGTGGAGAATTTTGGCAATTATCAAAAAAATCATACAAGATTATGGATCGAAATTATCTCCCTAAAAAAGAGAATTAAAAGCTGCATCGAAAGCATGTTGAAACTCATTCAGGTCTTTATTGTGTGTGGTTTTATAGTAGTTAACGGACAAAACTTTCGGGACAACCTAATATATGCATCTTCCACCCTCACTAAACAAATCCAAAAAAATCTCTGCCACTTTTTTCGACTATTCTCAGACGAATGGACTTTTCGTCAACAACTCCACTATCCGAACAATCGAGTTTGCTTTTTTCGAATATTTATACCCGAATTTTCTGAATGGCACATTACGATTATTCGGGAATATCAATATAAACATTTTGAGATGTATATCACGGAGTACAATGTAGGAAACTTACACTTGAATGCATTGCCCCTTTGACAAAGTTAACGTATGACTGAAAGAAATCTCATATTAGACGGCGAGCTTCCAGATATAATCTGTTCAAGTTTACGCGCATTAGCCTTCATTGCGCACATAAAGATTAGTGTTGATTCAAAACTGGAATTTCTCACTGTTTCTCGAAAGGCCATTGTTTTCACCACAAATGTCTGCGCATATATTCTGTCCACATAGGTTTGCTAATTGAAATTCGTCCAGTGACATGATGTAATTCTTTTCCTATTAGCCACAATGTTCCCGTTTCGAAACAACTCTAGAAACTTTTGCAAGTAATGTGCAGTCCTTTTTCAATTTCAAAAAAAAATTGCTGAGAGCAACCAAACATTATGGGAACTACAGACATCAGAATCACCGTTTGACATAACTGTCTGTACTCGCCTCCTTATTGGATGTAAGATATGCCACGTTTTCCTCATCAATATTGTTCAGACTGAATAGCGTCATCAGCCTGAATCACTGAGTGCTTCATTTATCAAGCAACCCTTTTGCTGCCACACTTCCCACTTCTTGTCCATTTGCGCAAATTTCCCCGCCTTCACATGATTTCCTTCACTCCAAATGCATAGAGCGCTTACACGGTACTCATCTGTAATATAGTTTTGTATTAAAGTGTGAGAATTAGACGCTAGAAATATAAGTTATTAACTGAGGTTTTCGTATGTGGGCTATGACCGCCTCCTAGCGTTGAAATCTGCAGAAAATAATTCATGAGCCTCTCTTTCATCTCGTAGTATATGCACAATCATCAATATGGTAAGGAATTATTAGGGTGATCCAAAAGTAATGGGGCACCTAGAGAATAAATGCAGTTTTTTCAAATAGAAAAGCTAATTGGAAGTCCAAGTTTTGGCAGATGTTAGTACATGACAAAACCTTCTGATCGAGATCTATGGTTGGGCACTGTCACATGGCGTTATTTTTATAAGCGCTCAAAATGAAAGCTCATCACTTCAAGCAATTTTGAACTTTGATCAGCAGCGCCGCAGTAGAACAAGTGAGCCTACCAAAGATATATGCGCAGCAATGGGTGAAGGGACTGTCACCAAATCCACAATAGCTCGGTGGTCCCAAGGCTTTAGAATAGAAGATATAGCATTTGGTATCAGGAGACATTGTGCTTATTCTTTCATCAAGGTAATCAAATAAGCTCAACTTTAACAGTTGCTTTCTGATAGTGCTTTTTACGCTCTATCCATACATATGCGATTTACTTCGACTTTTCTCGTTTTCAAAAAATTGTGGGCCAAAACATGATTTTTAGTCTATAAATCTGCCCCAAACACCGCCTTTTCCGAATAAAGTGCCTTTTTTGTATGAAATGATGGGCAATTTTTGAATATTCAAGCAACCATTGAAAAGAGCTTGGAAAGCTCTTTCGAATGATATGCCACATGTCGAGGGTCCTTCAGGTGCAGCAGCACAAATTCGGATGGCGTTCAAAAAAGTCTGTCTGACTTTTTTAAAGCGGCGCTTGAAGGAATGTCGGTGAGGTGCTGCAAGGTGCTGTCAGGATAACCTGCGAAGGTCACTTTATACAAAAGCGTTCAAATTGCTGGTTGTTCATAGCTAATCAGAAAGAGATCTCGAAGAATTTTCAAAGAAATCAAGGTGCCCCATTACTTTCGGATCACTCTAATAAAATGAGTCTTGCAAGCAGCGATCGTCATCCAGAGGGAAAAAATCCAGCATTCATATGCACAAGGGAACTTTTTGGGGCAGTTCAGATCGCTATACCATCCAGAAACATGAAGAAAATTTTGTCGTAGTATGTAACACTTTTACTTTTATATCAAAAGTTGTCGTTTTTAGAGTTTTTATTTCCTCACACCAATTTCTCTTCATAGAAATATTTTTTCTCTCAAAAAGGTCATCAACTGATCCTTTGTGGATAACTCTTTGCAACGATACCAGCATCTCATAGAGATATTTTATTGCGATGCCTTCACAGACTGTCACGATCGATCGTTTCAAGCCACCTTATCCCGTTAAAATCGAAAGAAAATATGTAACTCTAATTGAGAGAATTGATAGGTTCTTGTCACCATATCCTGAAGCTTTTTTATAAATTCAAACTACAAAATTCCGAAGCACATCAGGCTGCCTTCTCCTCGACAATCGATAACTTATTCTTTATGGTTTTTTACTCTAAATTTTTGATTTCATTTTGCTCAGATTTTCATGGCTGTGGTAGCAGATGTTCAGAATCATGGTAAATCAATCTTTTTCCAGTCGTTTGAGCTCTTCATACTTCTAATTTAGAATCGCCAGCCCCAAAGAAGAAATCCTTTTTTCGAAAATATTTTCTGGAAGGTGAGTTATAATAGATCTTGCTCTGCTATAACTAATCATTAGGTTTTCATTTTTTCTATAGTGTGGTGAATAAAGCATTATTATCGCGCTCGCAAATTTACATTAAAGCTACATTGAACGTGCTGCCTAATTTGAAAAAAGCACAATGGGTTTTCGAGAACGATTTTTTCGGATTCTTAAATAGCTTTTGCGGTATCCTCTGTTGTAAGAATTCTGACTCCAGTTCAGACGCAGTCTTTTCTCTTCTTAATACCTATAATTTTGTGAAAAAAAGACATTTTAAAAAGAAAAAAAACGTAGAAATTCTTCCTCCATCAGTGGTGCTAGTGTGCGTGTTCAAGAAATATTTTTAACGTATTTTTCATTCAAAAATGAGAACAATTTTCTACTTCCGACTTTTCTAGGACAACACCTTGATACGTCAGCAGTGCAATATGTTCCCGAAGATGCTGATTTCATCGAACGATTTGTGATCGTTTATCGGAAATATATTGCCTTTCTCGTGCCGATGATCGTCATGCAGGTGAACACAAAACAGTTCCGCAAACTAGCCAAATACAAGGCAATTACATTGATTTGCAAACGTGAATCTATGCTCTCAAATCGATGTGTTGTCTCATCATACTCACGAAACTGATTGTCTGGGGTACCAGAGACTTGAGTTCAAGTGCCATATGTGCAAAATCCTTGTTTTAAAAGGATGAACCTTCAACTTAGAGCGACTTTTGAACAAGCGAATACCCGAAAAACCCAAAAACAAGAACTTCTTTAGTGCATCCCCCAGAATTGTTTCCATATGAACCATCAATGTGGCTGTCTTTCTATCATTTTAACATGTCAGCCTCGAATAAGCGCCTCAGATTCGCTGGAGTTAACGTGTTAAACGATCGAAAGGCAGCCACGTTAATGGTTGGGAACACTTCTGAGGAAGGCGGTCGAATGGCGCGTATTGATCGATTGTCACTAATCAGAAAGACCAGGAAAAAAGGTCGAAATTGGTTTAGTACTTCTGGGATTTAACTAGTAATCCTCTGTTACCATTTCTGATATGATGACAAAATTTTAAGAGTTTGGAAACCTCGCTTTTGTAGAGTAGAAAGCCCTTCTGGCAAGACGACTGCCCAAACGCGCGGCTTTCGACATACACCTCAATTCTGGGGATGCACGATCACTTCCTCACACTTATCGCGCATCCCTTAGAATTGTTCCCATAGGTATACGCGGCTGCTTTTCGATTGTTCCAACATGTTAAGGAATAAGCGCGTTACTTAGTTTGCTGGAGTTAACGTGTTGAAAAGACTGAGACGCACATAAATATAGGCGTTTCCCATGCGTATAGCGGGCGTGACCGTGCAGATATTTGAACACGTTGAAAAACTTGTTGAACCTCCACTCTAAAGCATTACTTTTTGTACTCTCTAGCTGCCAAAAACTGCCACGCGTATACGTTGGAAAACGTCTGTGGGGAAAGGACGATACCATGAACGCAAACATTAATGGCACTTATGTGAAGAATTTTGAGGGATGCACCATACATATGCAGCAACTCTGTAGCAAATTTAGTAGAACTCTACTATGAGTATTCAATCGCGAGCCCTAGTCTTATCATAGAAAATAGTGGTAGTAGTATTATAATCAAATATACAGGCGCAAAGAAAAATGCTTTGAAGTGATGCTGAGGAATCCGCTAGATGGCACTAAACTCACCAACTTTCGCACAACAAGTCTGTCACGAGCTAGTCATGTTTGATATGATGCTGCAAGGTGGGGTAACGCAGGTGTTATTTTGATGCACATATCTGAATTCACTGCGTACTGGTCCATCAGAATCTTCACAAAACCTAGCAACCCAAAGCTGAAAAAAGACCTTGAGTTTTGAGTTCTCAATCTGTTGAGACACTGAGAAAATGAGTCTTGTTGGTTTGATCTTAGCTCTTAAGCCTGAAAGAAAGAATGACAAAAATTTCTGAAAGTTAAGAATTAACTATGAAATTTAGACACTTTGGTGGCTGACTGCTGTACGATATGATTGGTTATCACTGTACAAGACAAGATGGCAGATGCCTCTTATCATGATACTCGGGGCACTTGTAGCAGGTATGTGTGTTCACGTTTGTTGCAATTAATCCCTGATCGTGAATTTTGAAGAAAGAGCTGCATTTGATTAGTTGAAAAACATTCCACTGAAGCATTGTAAGAGGATGGAAGAAAAGGCTTTGTTTTTTTTTTGAGTTTTTAGTTTGCATCTGCCGTCTTGATGCAGGTGCAAGTGGCTTTTTGGGAACCACCAAAAAGTTTCTAAGACTAAAAATATTTTCAACACTGAATAATCAACTCAAAATGACGGGAAATATGAACATCTAGCCGAGTTTGTATGCGGGTTAGCTAGTGATAGAGTTTACTGTCAACATGGTTTGGTGTTTCTACATTGCCACCAACATTTGCGCGTAGGGAAATGCCTATTGGACGCAAAATCTACACCTGCACTCAGTACACATTCTTCTATGTAGATATTGATGGCAGTGACAGAAATACTGTATTAACCGACAGATCCGACAAATACACTGCTATCTTGCACCCAAAACGTTCAATTTCAGGCATGACGTCCGAAGGAGGTGGAGCTGTAGCATTTCCATCTATGACTCTTGGACTACATATAGATCCTGTCACCGCAAGAGATTTTTCACTTCTTATGCAGTCAGTAGGTGCGAAAATTTGACGCTGCATTGAAAAAGACAACACACGAAGAGTTTCAGAAACCTCCTTACCACAGAATATTGAAAAAATAATGTATGTTTGAACGTTAATATCTCTTTTGCATGAACATTTCGCCGATTTTACTATTAGGCTGGAAACTAAGTTTTGCAACTACTTTCATAACTTTACTCTCTTTGAGTGTGGCGCATTCAAATTTTGGCAATATATAGAGCGCAATGTGTGCTACGACTCCGCACAACTGTTTGGATTTTGAACACGAATTAGAAAAATTTCAGGCAGTTTTTGAAAATTAGTGAATTTTGAGGATTTTCGGGATCGAGTCAAAATGAAGCCGTTAGCAGCCTATATTGTGCGCGATAATCTGGAGTTGTGTATGAATTATTGCTAGAGGTTGTGTTATTCAGATAAGCAAGAAAAAAAATTTACTGACATGTCGAGATTTGGCGCAATCACAAAGTTGAGCGAGTTCGCTATAGGCAAAGGTGTTGAGGACAGCCGTCAGTGACCAAGGCGTCAGAAGCTCAAAAGTCGCCGAGACTACACATAGCAAGGTTATTTGACCTGCGAAACACGAATATCATAATCTTTTCTCAAAATAACGCCTCTTCCCGTGTTTAGGTTGAGACCCTGCATCGTAACCTACAGTAATCTTACAAAAAAGCCCTTATCACGCAACTTCAGTATCGTTTTCGTGATCAGCACGTTGGATAACCCCACCATGTCAGGTTCCAGCCAAGTCTGTCAATTTTTTAGATTTCCCCTTTATACTATAACCCTACCGTAACCCTCACTAAGAAGTCAGAATTTGGCAGGAAAGTAACTGCTTTTGTAGCTTATGTCGAGATAATATAATTACAAAATTTGAGTGCGCCATGTTAAAAAAAGAAGAAAGTTATTGATTGAGCTGCAAAGCTTAGTTTCCAACCCAATATTTGTAGAGCTGGCTTCAACTTAGTTTCTAATTGTAATTGCAAACAGAAGTCAATTTCTTTTCATAGCTGTATAGTTTGCGGTAAGAACTTCTGAAAGTTTATTTTGAGCAAATTATTTTGAGCAAACGAATGCTCTGAAATTATCGAAAAGAGCTGAAAGCTTTATTAACGATTGCGTTATGTAGGGTCGCTTATTTCGACATGAGTGTAGCACTCCACCATAATCCCTAGTTCATAAATACTTTACTTATATGGTAAAAGCTTCCCGATGTTTTGTCAAAAATGCTGCTATACCATTCAAATTGCTCGCGAAATCCGTACATAGTAACTTTTTGGAATCAGCTGATAAAGTTACTGATCTTTTTTTTCCAAAATCTGATTTGCAGGATCACAATGCACCACTGACGGTCGCAAGATTTCCGTTCGGGTCTAAATTAAGGTGCGTGGTGTTAGGCACGCGCTCCGAAAACTGTGCTTCTCAAATTTTTGCAGGCCCATAACCCCAAAAATTTGGAAAAAGGGGGTGTGTTGCAGCCACGCACTCAAAAATTTCGTACAAGGTTAGCTTGTATGTTTAAATAATTTCAAGCTTTGATTTGATCATTTACGAGCATAAACAAATCACTTGCACATTTTTATAACTCATATATGTAACTTTCAAAATTCGACACCATTCTTGGGTAGGGAGGGAGGAAACTTTCACGCGCTCTGTTGTCAACACAGACCTTGTGCAAATTTGTGAAAAGCTGATTGCGCAATCGACCAAAAAGGGACTTTTGAACCTTTTCGAAGCAAAATTGGCTCTTACCGAACTTCAGAAGTTCTTACCGTTACCCTACACGAATGAGAAATACATAATCGCTGTCGTGTTTTATCGCATATAACTTGACCAGCTCTGGGAAATACATCTGAAATGACGGATTACTCTGAGCTACATGCATGCTTTTGGGTACCTTGGAGACATTTTGATCATTCGGTTGAACTGAATATGCTGTAGAAATTTTTTTTCTGATGTCCTGGAACGTCTATGAAGAACATTTGCTCACTTTTCTAGGAATGATGTGTGCACTAACCGTTGTTCTGATTATGAGAGTGCAAATCGAGCAAAGGGCAGTTCTTTTCGGAACGCTTGGTTCTGTGCCTGGTATAATCTTCGGCTTCAAATTCGTGAGTCTTTGTGTTCAACTCAACTTAGTATATTTCTGGGTATGTACAAATTTTAAGCAACGGAATTCAAACTTCTCTATGCTTTCAGTTTGACCCACTTCTCGACGCTAGTCAAAAGAAAATGCTATTCGTCTCAATTTGGGCATCCTTCGCAATAGCCTTATTTATTTTGAATTCGCACAAGAAGAGAAAAACTTATCCAAAAATTCCCGATTTCAAGCCTTGGAAGGCGGTGGTATTGGCTGCTACAGGATTTGTAGGAGGTAAGTTAACATTTTTGGTTGATATTTTTCAAATTGACGATTCGAGTGTATCTGTTGGCTCAGTGGGTTTCTTTTGTGAACACACACCTATCGCACCACCACCTCAAACTTGAGTAATTAAGCCCATTCCAGACAGTTATGAAAAAACATCACAAACAACAAAAATAAACAAACACTGACCAAGATTTTATTGTGCTACACTAAAAATCTCAAAGTGCTACAAAAATGTGAGTGAAACTGCGCTTACGTTTTTCGTAAATTTTTGGATGATGCATAGTGCATTTGCATGAAACATAGAAAATGAGCATTGTAAAAAAATATTGGGCTCGGATTGGGCATCATACTTCTTGAGAAGCAGGTTTGAAGCGTAAAAGGTAAATGTTCTTAAAGTGGTAAGCTTAAGGGCTAATTGAGCGTCCTTTTGTTTGAGCACATTATTTGCAAGGGAAAAAAGATAAAGTAGCGCTAATTGTGACGGTGACAGACTTTTTGAGGAAGATGAACGGAAGCGCATCTACGACTTCGGGCTTCTATCTGATAGCGGATCATCTTGTTGTTGGAGCTTTGACGCTTGTCACATTCTGCAAAAATATTATATTAAGATAAGGCTACCCCAGTGTATTTTGCAGGTCGCGCTGCGAAGCCGCAATAATTTATTTTTTTAATTTTTAATTATTTTCCCATAGATACCATTGACTAATAGCAGTGCCAAACAGTTCAAGGGTCTTGCATTACTTTGCTCTGCGCGAAACCTTCTCACTAAAAATTATTATCGCTTTTTACCACTGTTTTGACATTAGAATGTAGAATGGGTGTAGCGGAGCGGCCCACGAATCAGTAAGACTGTTTCATACTGATCAGAAAGTTCGGAACCGTTTCAGCCCAATTCTCGCACTGTGCTGGAACTGTTACAGAGTTCTGCTGCATGCGCTGCAGTCGTTCGCATGCGATATTCAGCGGCGCGGCATAGAATTTTTGACTTTCTTGAATGATTTGATTGTACAGGGTTGGGGGAAAGTCTTTGAACAATTTTTGATGTCCTTGTATGTTCGGCTTTTCCACAAATTTTTGTATGCTAATTATATGCGTTTGCTTTTTATACTCTTGAGTACGAGTCCTCAAAAAACTGAACTATTAGCTTCTTTCCTATCGGAGATATGCCTTCTGGAATGGAGCGAGCATTGGTAGGGAAGATGCACGAGGAGAGGATGGCTGACCAACAAATTGCGCGGGCTCTCCAAATTTTACAGATCAGGGTCTTTTCACCTTGCGTCGTTTCCAACGTGTGAGCAGCACCCAGGACTGTTGTATGAGTGGTAAATTGGCTCCGGCAGACAGTAGCGAAATTCTGAAAATCGTTCGCCAACGCCTTCTTCGCAATATCCTCGGCGAAGCTTGATTGAGCTGGCTTCAGAGCTATCCATCTCTGGCAGGATAGTCTCTGACACCGTAAAAGAGAGCCCTGCGATAAGGCTTTTCAGGATGCTAAAATTCCGTGCTTTTTGGGAGGACACGAAGCTGAACCGACTGCGCAGATGCCATCGAATGCTTGAACGTCTTTCCAAGGCACGCCACAATAGGCACTCTTTTCTGACTATAAAATTTTTACCGTAAAACAAGTTTTCAATCTACAAAACACCTGAATCCTAATTGCTCTGAGTAGCCATCAGCAGGAGTTGACTCGCCAATGGAGAGCCTCATCCGGCTTTTTCGATGGTTTAGGTGGCGATCACTTTCGGCGGCAAGACGCCACTGATCTTAGCGCCTCAGGGTCAAGGTGGACGCTGTTACGTAGTTAGATAGCATTCTGGAGAAGCAACTGATGTCCTAGAATACCCATTTTGCAGGGAAAGATTGGTGCTTCCAGCAGGTACCGCACCTGCGCACGCAGTGAAGATTGTTTAAACTTGGCTCGAAAGCAACTTTAAGGTCTTCACTACTCTTGCGGAATGGCCTTCGTTTTCGCCCAATCTGAATCCTCTCGACTATAGCGTTTGGTCTGTTCCTTAGGCCAAAGCCTGCGCTCACTCACACAAGACAGTGGAGTTTCTGCGACCTGCTCTTCAGAAGGCGTTGGAAGAAATTGACGTGGAGCACCTCCGTGAAACCATGGACAGCGTTCCCAAGCATTTCCGAGCTTGTACTCGCGTCAGAGGAAGAATCTTTGAATTGTAAAGCCAGTTTTGTATAGCAGACAGTTAAATAAACATTACCTATTGATTTCATGTAATCATATTGCCTAGCTTCATCATTATGTTAAAAATACCATGTTCAAAGACTTTCCCCCAACCCTGTATATTTCACCTAATTTTGTCTCGTTCTTGCAGCTTTATTCTTCATGTAATGAAGAGAACAACTCAAAGAGAGATATGAGAATAGAGCTTTTCCATGTTTTGCCGTGCACAAAAAATGTATTTTCCTACGCGAGTCCCTTCTTCTTCCCGAATTTTCCTAAAACATTCTAGTTGTATTTCAAATGTCCTGTGTCCGCGGTAGCACGACTTCTCTTCAGAAAAAAACTGATACTATCATCGTGATTTCGCAGATCGGGAATTTTTCTTCGTGTTTTGACGAAATTCGGTTTTTACAGCCCCATTTCTTTTCAACTCATACTGCCTCGTACGTTCTTGACCATCCGCTTTCGACGGAAGAACTTCGAATTTGGAAGCACACGGATGGAAGCGGCAGAGTTTGTGACACTTTCAGCTTGATGTTCAAAGCGAAATAGCGCTCATTCTTATACCCTTCTCCCAGCTTGCACTTTTTTCATAACGAGAGCAAGCGAGGTACAAGAATGAGGCAAAAACGAGCAAAATGTATCGCGAAAATAGTTGAAGGGAATCAAAAATTGCTACTTTGAGCCTCTCGAAACTGCATGCGGTCGGCTGCAGCGCATGTAGCATAGTTCCGAAACAGTTCCACACAGTGCGAGGATTGTGCTAGAACTGTTCTAAAACTTGCGAATCAGTATGACCCAGCCTAAATGGTGGTGCGCGTTACACTTTCAATCTATATTATAATTCGTGATATCCCACTGAGTTCGCAGTGAACCATAATACCTTCCAAAAGTCGTTTCGCAAATGTGGAAAGCACATTCAAAATTGGAGTTTTTACGTCGCTTCCGAAAGTAATGTACATCTCTTAACATTCAGCCAATGGACCTATCCTCCTTTCGTAAGCATATCCAAAGGATCTAAAAATAAGAGGAACCACTGCACTGCTTTAAAGTCAGCCTTTTAGAAGAAAGGTGACTGGGATTTCCAAAGCTGCTCTGTACTTTTTTTAGTGCCACTCTTCGAACTTTTGTATACTTCACACTTCTTGTCAGCGCAGCGATCATAATGGCGTTCAAATGTGAGAAATGTGAAGACTGAAAACAGTTCAATTTTTATCTCTGGACAATTAGCAACGAGCAATCATTTCAAACCACTATCTATATACCTTCATCCTATAAAGGATAAAGGATAAAAGACCCACTAAACAACTTACTTTTAACACAATATGCTCTATACAAGCTTCGGCTTTAGCAGGTTTGTTTTGGAATATAAGCTGTACAACCTTTATAATGAGGCCGGGCAAAGTTTAATAGGGATCACTTTGACCAAAACTGATTCTAATAGTCTCAGAGGGCATGATTTTGTCTCCAGTTAAGCAAGAATCTATTATATTTTCTTAATCACCCTAAACATTGTTGATTAGTCCTTCTAGTGAGGTTTGAAGGTACAAAGTTATTAGTTACCTGATTTACACGGGTACACTATTTGGGTGCACTATTTCTTCACAAACATTAGCATAAACACGCAAAAGGATTTCACGATCAAGAACCCTACAAGCCTTATTTGAAAAAGTTGTCCGGAACAGCGAGCGTCCTGTGAGGCACTCCGAGCTGCTCGCATTTAACGAAGAGAAAAATGCGTCTTGTATTTGTGAACTCAGGATATGCAAAGGCATTATGCGTCCGTTAACTCCTTCGGATTTAGGAATCTTTACTGCTTTTGCTGGGTCTGGCGTGGACATTTGTATTTTTTCCATGATCACCTTACTCTTCAGAGTGACTGAGAAGACTGCCACTCCAACCACCGTCGTCTTGATGGGTATGCGTACCCAACAATTGTTGCAACTATAAGCATTTAATTCAAGGTTTGAACTCTATGGTCGGAGGGTATTACCGCCTAATTTGGGAAGGTGACGTCACCAAACTTGCCATCGAGTACCTGCAGGTCTCTATTCCCGTTGGCGTTACTCTTGCACCGTTCGGCAGCTTCCTCGGATCTCATTTTCACAGACAGGTTGTTACATTCATAAATATTTTTGCGTGGAAGCGACCCTTCATACTTCGCCGAGAAAAGCCAAAGGCGCCCGAAAAAGTTCAAAAGCGTAAGAGAACATCGCTGTTGTTGACAATATCTAACGAACAGGAGTTCGAGATGCAGACGCTTGCTTTGATTTTCAGCACAATAAGAAATACACAGCCATGCTCATGAGCTGGCATGAATTTCCAGAAGAAAATTTGAACTAAACAAAGGGCTACACAGGATGAATCAGATAATCACGAACCATACAAAGGCACCATAGTGAGCTGCATGAGAAGCTAAGATACCATGCAGTTTCCTAGAAACTAAATTGCTAGAAACAAGGGAGGTCCGACTAACCAAACTGGCCTTTCTAAATGGCTCTTATACCACTTTGAAGAGCATCAAACGGTAACTCAGATAATCACCGGGGGCAGGCGGCCATGCCATTTTTGGGCAAGCGGGCACCGGAAAGATAGTTCGCTGATTTCTTGCGGTCCGCTTGCAGATATTTGGAAGAATTTTAGCGAAAATTTGAACGAATGTTTGAAGAACAATTGCGGTTTCCTTGCAGATTAGCTGCGGCGCAGTGGCCGCATTCTCGCGGACTTTCCGCGAAAATATGCAAGATTTTCGGGGGCCGCACGGTCCTTTGTGGAAGACCGCGCAGCCCTCAGGTACTCTCCGCTGAGAGAAAGTACCTCAAACTTGAGTAATTGTACCATCGATGACTCATCTGCCATGTAGAGTCTCATCTTTGCTCGGCGTACACCCGAAACTGCTTAAAAACCGTTCGAGCGCCAGCTGAAAATTTGACCAGCGCTCGCTGAGAGAGATTATTTGACGAGTGCCTGCAGGAAATTCTGTGTTGCTGCCCTCTGGCAGGACATTAGACAGTAAAGGAAGTGCCGCCCGCTGAAGGTTTGGCCACGCCCCAAAATTCTGCTGAGCGCCTGCAAAACAACGCAAGTTTTGCGGAACGCCTGCCCCCGGCGATTGTCTGAGAACTCAAATCTGATTTTGTTATCTGCCGAGCGCCTTTGCATGCCAAGTTATGATTAGTTTCTTGGTGCGAAAAATGAAGGCAATAAGTAAAATCAAATTTTACGGTCTTTTCTGCGCTCTCAAAATAAGATCAACAGAAAAATAGTAAGAAAATGGAATACAAGAACAGTTCAAAAAAGACGGCCGCTATAAGTCATCCGTTCTTGATTTGGCATATAGCTACGTATGCATTGAATTGCCGCGGTTGCCTCCTTCTTTAAAGTAATGATCAGCAAGTAGCGCTTTGTGGAATGAACTTTTTGCGACTATGAGAGCAAATCAATCTGCACGAAAATCCTGGGGAACCAAAATAACATCAGCGCGACTTGGTATATTTCTTTGCTGGCTTCGAAAACTTCAGTATCGGTTCTGTGCCGTACAGGTTTAATAGAGTAATACACTTTATTGCCTTACGTTTTGCATGCCGTTATCAGAGGCCTTTAATGTGTCAGTCACAAGGATGTCCGCTCCTGAACCCCAAACACCTCTTCGCACTTGCATATTCGATTCATCTAGTGTGGATGAAGGAGGTTGGGCCATGACTTCTACTCACCAGTGTATTATTGATATTGCAGTGTGCGACCGCTTCAGGCGAGCCTGTTCGACTGTTGTGACACAAGAGTAGTGTGCATGTCACATAGCTGCTTATATATGCTCAGACATTCTATAGCTCGCAAAACATGACACTAATCAAGGAATGTCTGTGTAGCAATATTTTAGATGGTCAGGACGGTATTACGCGCGAGTACGAGGTTTGTCGTTGGGTCAACGATTAGCACCCGTTTTAACAATTTGCTTCATGAGCAAGATAAAACTCCCAATGTTACTCAGAGATCCACTTATGTACTATTATATTTACGCGACTGTTGCATTGTCACGACAACACAGTCCGAGGTGGACAAATGTTTTGAAATACTCAATCAACAATCTAAGTACATAAGTTTAACAAGCGAGAAACCTCAAAACGATTGGTTGGCTTACTCGAACACGGAGATGACGTTTGCAGACGGCTTAGTATGCACGAAATGGTACCGCAAAGAAAGTAGCAAAAACATAATCTTGCACGCTCCGCTCACCCACTAGCCGTTAAACGCACGCTGATTTGCAATATGTTGAAAACGGCAGCGAACAGCAGTACCGGTGAGATTGAGAAGCAGGAATCACTAAAACTGGCGGCCGATATAATGTTATCCAATCGTTGTACAAAACGACCCAGACGAAACAAAAAGGCAACAGCGCAACTAAAAGATCAGGTCACCAACAAGGTACCTTTATGCTGCCCTTTATCTCTAAGAAAGTCACTATGGCGATTAAGCAATGCCTGATACGAGCGAATCTCGAGGATGACGTTATTTTAACGTCATTCTTACGTTTTTCTAGTAAATATTCCTCGCAACAACATAAAGAAGCAACTAGACCGCAATAGATTATGCGACAAAGCTTATAATTCACGAGATTGCGCGATCTGCCCATAAGGAAGAATCGGAGATTGCACAAAGTGTGGCGTCGTTTACGAAATCCATTGTTTGAAAAAGACTCCGCCAGTTACATTGGTAAGATTGGTCGACCCTTGAGCTTACGTTCAAATGAACATCTAATTGGCAAAAGAAAACAGGACATGATGAGCCCATTAGGTGAGCCGGCAGAAAGGTAGAGCATGAAGGAACGGATTGCGATATAAGGTGCACAATACTGACCTATGAAAGTAAAAAAGCTGCGCGAAAGGCTTTGGAAGCGTCTTTCATTCTTACGCGTGATCCCAAGATGAACAAGAATGAACAGCTATCCATTACCGCTGATCTCATGCCGCATCTACCGTTTTGCGAAGGTGGGCCGTGACTTTCACTCACCAGTGTTTACCGATATTGCAGTGTGCCCGCTTTAGGCGAGCCCGTTCAACTGTTGTGACACAAGAATGAGCAGTGTGCATGTCACATAACTGCTTATATACGCTCAGACAATCTATAGCTGGCAAAACGGAAGATGCGGCATGAGATCAGTGGTAATGGATAGCTGTTCATTCCTGTTCATCTTGGGATCACGCGTAAGAATGAAAGACGCTTCCAAAGCCTTTCGCGCAGCTATTTTACTTTCATAAATTAGTATTGTGCACCTTATATCGCAATCCGTTCCTTCATGCTCTACCTTTCTGCCGGTTTACCTAATGGGCTCATCATGTCCTGTTTTCTTTTGCCAATTAGATGTTCATTTGAACGTAAGCTCAAGGGTCGGCTAATCTCACCAATGTAACTGGCGGAGTCTTTTTCAAACAATGGATTTCGTAAACGACGCCGCAGTTTGTGCAATCTCCGACTTTTCCTTATGGGCACATCGCGCAATCTCGTGAATTATAAGCTGTGTCGCATAGTCTATTGTGGACTAGTTGCTTCTTTATGTTGTTGCGAGGAATATTTACTAGAATAACGTAAGAATGACGTTAGAATAACATCATCCTCGAGATTCGCTCCTATCAGGCATTGCTTAATCGCCATAGTGACTTTCGCAGAGATAAAGGGCACCATAAAGGTACCTTGTTGGTGACCTGATCTTTTAGTTGCGCTGTTGCCTTTTTGTTTCGTCTGGGTCGTGTTGTATAACCATTGGATAACATTATATCGGCCGCAGTTTCAGTGATTCCTGCTTCTCAATCTCACCGGTACTGCTGTTCGCTGCCGTTTTCAACATATTGCAAATCAGCGTGCGTTTAACGGCTAGTGGGTGAGCGGAGCGTGCAAGATTATGTTTTTGCTACTTTCTTTGCGGTACCATTTGGTGCATACTGAACCATCTACAAACGTCATCTCCGTGTTCGAGCAGGCCAACCAATCGTTTCGAGGTTTCTCGCTTGTTAAACTTATGTACTTAGACCGTTGATTGAGTACTTAAACATTCGTCCTCGGACTGTGTTGTCGTGACAATGCAACAGTCGTCTATATAAATCTTATATATAAAGCTGAATGTCTGTTTGTATGTATGTCTGTATGTCTTTATGTAAGTCTGTATGTACGTATGTTCCGAATAGAAATTTTTATTTCTGAACCGATCAAGACCAAACTTAGCACACATACACTTAGGACCCCGGCGGGTGTCATAGGCTACTTTTCGTCATCGATCGATATCGATTTTATCGATTCTGACCACCCCCACGGGGGTGATCAGCATGCTCGATTACACCCCCTCTGCCAAATTCCAGCCCCCTAACTCAAATTTTGCAAAAAATCAATAAAATCGACATCGATCGATAACGAAAAGTGGACTGTGACACCCGCCGGGGTCCAAAGTGTATGTGTGCTAAGTTTGGTCTTGATCGGTTCAGAAATAAAATTTCTATTCGGAACATACGGCGGAGCCGGGTAAGCCAGCTAGTAGTATATAAGTGGGTCTCTGAGTAACATTGGGCGTTCTATCTTGCTCATGAAGCAAATTGCTAAAACGGGTGCTAATCGTTGACCCATCGACAAACCTCGTACTCACGCGTAATATCGTCCTGATCATCTAAAAATATTGCTACACAGCCATTCCTTGATTAGTGTCATGTTTTGCGAGCTATAGATTGTCTGAGCATGTATAAGCAGATATGTGACATGCACACTACTCTTGTGTCACAACAGTCGAACGGGCTCGCCTGAAGCGGTTGCACACTGCAATATCAATAATACACTGGTAAGTAAAAGTCATGGCCCAACCTTCTTCATCCACACTAGATGAATCGAATATGCAAGTGGGAAGAGGTGTTCGGGGGTCAAGAGTGGACATCTTTGTGAATGACACCCTTCAAGCCCAGGGCCCGGCACCGATGGTTTGGGGTCAAACTGGACTTCGTTTTGGAGTTAGAAGAAACGGGGACATCGTTTTTATGAGGTCCTGGAAGAACCAAAAAACACGACGAACATGTCAGGTTTCACGAGTTGAACGTGTTCTTTCGTAAGCGCGCGAATTTCAAATGCAAGACTCAAACAAACAAATGGCTTGTTTACAGTGCACAAACAATCACATGGCTCCGAATTTGGGCTATGAGTATACAATATTACTCCAAACTATGTTATGTAAAAAGTTCCCAAAACTTGTGTGTCCTAATATCCGTTCTCGAATTTGTTGTTTTCTAGACCAACTCCAAACCAACTGGGTTGGTTCGGAGCATAAATATTGGAGAGCTCACATAAGTTTTCAAACTTTTTGATTTGGACGATTAGAACGGTCAAAAATCTATCATATAGTGAAGAGAGCGGATCAAACCGTTGCCTCTACACTTTTTTAAAGTTAAAGTAGTATAATTCTATGCATTGATAGATATCGCGCTCCAATCACTTGCGGTGTCCTTTGAAATATGTGGCGAAAAATGCATCGCAGGATTGTTGAGACTACAGATTTGGTTGGCCTAGGAGATTCTTGACATTCCCAGCATCAAAATGGTACTATACCCAATGGCAGAGCCTTTAATCGATTCGAAATGTTTTCTTTTTGCTTTTTGTTATATTACATGCCTCAAAATGCGCTTTTTTCGCTTTTTGTTGCTATTTTGGTTGAATGAGGGTTTCCCTACTGATTTTCACGTCGAGAGGACTTCGTAAATTTTCGCAAAGTCATGGGGGACTCCGTTTCCCAAAAACCTCCAAACCAACGCGTGCCGGGCCCTGTTCAGGCCTCTGGTGACGGCCTGTGGCCGAAACGTAGGGCGATAAAGTGTATTATTATAAAAGACCTCTACGGCACAGAACCAATACTGAAGTTGGCTTTCAAATGCCCAGGTTTCAAGGTAAAAGGACTTTCAAAATTTATATAACTTTACAGGATATGAGAGTGTGAAATGAAATTGATTTTTAATAAGGTGTAAGAATTAAATTTACTAAAATTACTTTTACAAAATTAGGAAGACTTTAATCTGAAATGCAAGACTTTTGTAAAAGCTTTCCACAGCTGAGTAATAATATCTAAGGTCAACGTCCATTTAGGTTCTTGCATGTTTTGTCTACGTTCTCGAATTACTTTCTCTTCTTGGATTTTTGATTACTGGTCCGCCTTTATATCTGAGTAAGTCTTATTAGGAACTCTGTACATGCACAGCAAAAAATGTATTATTCAGTTGCTTGTGGAGGTGCAATAATCCTTGCCGGGTTCGGATTCTTCACACTTATCAGCAAAGCAGGCGAGAAACTCATGGAAGAAGTTGAGGTTTGTGCAAAGACCCCATCCGGGTCGAAAGTATAGACATGCTTAAAAATTCTGTTGAAGAGATGTTGACGCATGAGTGACTTCAAAAGTTTTTTCAAATGAAGGTATATTAATGTATGCGCGCTTCCAAACTTTTTTTTATGAAGGCGTTTTGAGTAAAAAGAATTGCAGAAACGGATTGTATGAAGCACAAATTACTAAGAAAACAACATTTTCATGATTGTTCGCTTTGTGTCCCTGCAGCAGTGGTTTTGCATAAGTCGACTTTGAAGCCATTCATTTATGTATTCAGATAAAGCAACTCAGCTTCAAGCAAACTTCCTAGTTTGCATTCTGATACTCGCTGATTCTTTACTCGTACTTATGTCTGTATATAAAGTTAGCGTTTTTGATCATCTTTGTACAATTACGCATCAGTTGTATGCATGGCTCTTGGCGCTACATATTCACGGTTGGCTAAAGTTGTAATGTCTTATAAGTAGCCGGGCAACATACGATTTCTCAATAAAAGTGTCTAGAAATGAGTTGTTTTATGTCGCGCAGTTTTTAGAACTGAAAGAAGATAAAAATCCAAAAATCGGGCTATAAGATGGATGCAGTCATAAATCAACCATTTTTGAATATATAGCGTTTTTAGTTCTTATTGAATCTTTATACTATCACAGTCGTATAACATATTCACAATATCTTGCTTTTGGAAACAAAAAAATCACTGAAAAATTTGGTAATGATAAAAAACGTGACTTGTAGCTAAAGACTCATTGTACTTCTTCTCAATCTCAGTGTTGTCTGGACAAATCGACGAAATCAGGAGCTGTCTCAATTGACCTATTATCACGTGCGTAGAAACTTCTTTTTTTTGAATTGTCAAGCGAGCTGCTCAGCCGACTCAGTGTTTCGGAAAGCGATCCTTATGCCGCACGGTTTTCTCAGGTAATACGCAAGACGGTATATAGTCGTTTAGTTGCGAAGTCTTTGGCGTGTTTAGCTCTTCGAGTGAAAAACAATCCCGCGGCTTATACACTTGAAATTAGGATAATAATAGATCGAGCAAAGTACGACAATGGTAGTTCATAATCTTCCAGAAGCTAGAGTACTGCACATATTGTTTGAAAAATTCGTACTCCATGACCCTATTCAGTGATATATTAGCAAGCAACCATTATTCAAACCATTATTTAACTTGGTCTTCTTGTTGTAAGATATCATGTACTCATGTCAATTAAATACAAATGTAATATGGCTAGTGGGACGTTTATAGCCAAAAAAAAACATTCACTCTGCAGCTAAAAATTCGAATAAACTCGCGCCATGGAAGAGGACATATTTACGCAGCAGATTATTAAGGAAATAGCACGACCTTCATGTTGTTGAATGAGTGAGTAGTTTTCTGCACCAATACATTGCCTTACTGCCTTCGTGTGAACTGTCAGTCCAATATGCAGACAAGGTCGCTTGCCGTTTGCGACCTTCAACGTCATCAAAGCTCTCAAATTCGATGTATTTTTTACATAAAATCAATTGAACAAGAAGAAATTGTATAGCTTATTCGTATGCCCATCCTGCGTCGCTTAGAGGTGCTTCTGCAAAAACATTCAGTTAATCGAAATGTTTAACGAATTGTCTCAAAAAACAAACAGTTTTGCACTGATAATATAGCTAAATAAGCAATCACTTCGTTATTCAATGGCCGTATTTATCAACAAACCATTGAGGTTAGAATCTACCTCAGCTAGGATTTTTGCTTGTAAGGAAATGGACAGAGTCCACGCGATTTCATCGTCGGGAATCAGACAAGACGAGTATTACGAGTTTATTGCATGCCGTCCTTCTTGTATTTTGGTTGTGATGGTTAATCACGATTAGTCGTGTTGGAAAACTATCACAACCGAAATGCAAGAAGATCGGCAGCAATGATGTTGTTACAGTTGACTTGTCGCGATTAATCGCGCAATGAAATTGCCTGTATTCTGCCCGTGGCCTAACCCGTATACACAACCATAGGTGCGATTTGCTTACCCCATCGCACCTATGGTTGTGCTATATGTGCTATATGTGGTTGTGGTATATGCTCACCCTCCCTTCACTTTGGAGGTCGGACCCCCCCTTCACCTGACGGACGAAAAATTTTTTTGAAGGTGAGGAATTACTGCACAATTACAAAAATATCAATGAACAAATGCATTTTTGGAAGGATCGAACGCAGAATCTTATAAAAATGATTGACCGACAATAATATGGGCAGCGGACAATGTCAGTCATTTTAGAGGCCTGAAAGGCGCTGATGGACAGATTTACCTGGGGAATATTGATGTAAATAATGTTAATAAAAGACCTTGCATTGATCATGAATTTTTTTGTTGCAAATACATTTTTATGTCGGTATTTATGTAGTACAATAAAAGAATTTGTTGTTCATTTGTGTTCGCTCAAAGCATGATAAAGATATAGAGTCCAGAACAATGATAAAAATCGTACAAACGATGTTAGGAGAAATTTTTATGGCAGTACAGTTGCAGTCGCAATGCTGGCCATATTTAAGAAAAGTCAGTATTTGAGTCAGTATGACTTGAGTAAGTTGCAGAATGTCATCTTGCGAGAGTATAGGCGTTAACGAGGAAGCTTTCCTCTATCACATAGAGAAAAAAAGTAGATCCAAAAAAGTATTCCTCTTAGAGTTATGGAGTCGCAAATAGAGCAGAAATCACGCCTTCAAAAGTCGATTTTTCGCAAATAACTTGTGCGGCGTATGCGAACGAAATTGAGTGGGAAGGGCATAGATAGATTCTACTCATCAAGAGCTCTCGATTGGTATATAGCATGTAGGGTCTATGTTTTTTGAGCCCTGCGAGGGGGGGGGGTGATCGGCCTCAGTTCAGGGTGATCATCCCCCCCCCCCCTCGCAGGGCTCAAAAAACATAGACCCTACATGCTATATACCAATCGAGAGCTCTTGATGAGTAGAATCTATCTATGCCCTTCCCACTCAATTTCGTTCGCATACGCCGCACAAGTTATTTGCGAAAAATCGACTTTTGAAGGCGTGATTTCTGCTCTATTTGCGACTCCATAACTCTAAGAGGAATACTTTTTTGGATCTACTTTTTTTCTCTATGTGATAGAGGAAAGCTTCCTCGTTAACGCCTATACTCTCGCAAGATGACACTCTGCAACTTACTCAAGTCATACTGACTCAAATACTGACTTTTCTTAAATATGGCCAGCATTGCGATTGCAACTGTACTGCCATAAAAATTTCTCCTAACATCGTTTGTACGATTTTTATCATTGTTCTGGACTCTATATCTTTATCATGCTTTGAGCGAACGCAAATGAACAACAAATTCTTTTATTGTACTACATAAATACCGACATAAAAATGTATTTGCAAAAAAAATTCATGATCAATGCAAGGTCTTTTATTAACATCATTCACATCAATATTCTCCAGGTAAATCTGTCCATCAGCGCCTTTCAGGCCTCTAAGGCCCCTTGTCAGACTTCACGCGACTTAATCGTCGCGATTAAATCGCCAAGATTTCCATTCATTTTCATTTCACATTCAAAAATTTCGGGCTGGAAAAGTATCACAACCGAATGCAAGTTGATCGACATGGAATGATGTTGTAACAGTTGTCTCGTCGCGATTCAGTCGCGACGATCAAATCGCGTGAAGTCTGCCCGGGGCCTAAAATGAGTGACATTGTCCGCTGCCCATATTATTATCGGTCAATCATTTTTATAAGATTCTGCGTTCGATCCTTCCAAAAATGCATTTGTTCATTGATATTTTTGTAATTGTGCAGTAATTCCTCACCTTCAAAAAAATTTTTCGTCCGTCAGGTGAGGGGGGGGGGTCCGACCTCCAAAGTGAAGGGAGGGTGGGCATTTGCTTACCCCATCGCACCTATGCTCATGGGCCCCTCTTTACAACTATGTGCTATTCTTGGGGCCGTATGCACTAACATCCCTGCGGCGAGGGGAGCGGCATCCCCCATTATGAAGGGATCGCGTGCGGACGCCGCTACGACTTTTACATCATTGGGGACGTCGCTCCCCTCGCCGCAGGGATGTTAGTGCATTCGGGCCTTGGTGGATGGATCTTGCCTGGACGCTGCCTTTAACCACGTCAGCGTCACTGGAAATCACTGGGGTGGGCGAGATCTGGACGGAGTAAACACCTCCATATCTGTTCCCTCCGGAGTATATTTTTCGCTTTGGAAGCAATTCTTCACAGCGCAACTTGGTTGTATAATCTAACAAGGAGAGGATACTTGGTGACCCCGGCCGTTTGGAATACGATGTATACCATAAGGTGCACCTCACCCTGATTCTAAATCTGTGCTCGAAATCTGCGAAACGATTATATGAAGGCAGTTATGTACTTTTTGGTAGAAAATTTGCGTACTTTTAGGTAGTTAAAATCACCCAATTTGATCTATTTTCCGTTCGAAGCTACTGAGGAGAATCTCGAAAGGTGTAACGTTGTATTTATACCTCTCTAGATCATACTCAGCATTTGAGAGAAAAGAAAATTTTTTATCGATGATTTTCACCCTCCGCAATAGCGCAATTCAATCTTGAAAAGATAAATATAACTCCATCCAGTTTCTTGTTTGGCAGATATGGAAATTAGTATTCGAACTAGCATTGAAAGGCGCATTTTTTGATATACAAACCATTATGAACGTCCGGGGTCACCATGTATCGTTCCCTGCTAAGACCCCGTCACCGTATAACACCAGAATATCATCATTCCCCGCTTTGGGCGGATAGTGCCTCTAAAGCATTCAGTCCTTTACTTAACACATTATACTTTTATGCACGTATGTCTTTGCAGAAGAGGAGAGGGGAGCTGTGAAGGATGCTTAATCTGTCAGTGTTTCAAGCTTCCGCACCTCTCCTTATGGTTTTGAAGTGTTTACTATCTTTTAACTTCGGCATAATGAATTACAGCACAGTCATATAAGATGAGATTTTTGACAATCGATAGGGTGTTCGGAGGATAGCCAAAATTTGGCGAAGTCGTTTATCTT